GTAAATGCTGTAAATTTGGTTATGCTAGCATGTGTGGAAATATTTAAACCACGTGTTACAATTTACCCCGCGTTACTTTGTGCCCCGCGCTCCCCTACTCAAACTGCGATCGCTCGCGGAGATAATAAATAATTAATTTCCATAGAGTTGTATTTATTTAGATGTTTATTAGCGAAATAATGGTTATATAGTAAATGTTAATACAATTTAGGGTATTTTAAACAAGTGAAAAGTTACATGCGGTGGCCGTGCTGGAGCATTTCCTGAGCATCAACCGCATCAACCCGGTGAGTGAACAGCAATATGAAAAGCGGCTTCACAAGACTAATGATGAGCAAGTATACAACAGAGAGAGAATTAAATTCAGCGCTTTTATTTCCAACATGCGCTCATTCATGGCTGTATTATTTAACTCATGCAAAGTTACGTCTTTATTGGGAGAGGATCTTGACGGTTTATCTACGTGACTCCGACTTCACGAGACTATAACGTTGAGCAGCATAGACAACAGAGAGAGAATTCAATTCAGTGCTTTTATTTCCAACATGCGCTCATTCATGGCATATTATTTAATTCAGGCAAAGTTACATCTTTATTGGGACAGGGATGGATTATCTTACATGACTCCGTGAGTTGTTCTCTATTTCTTAGAGCTAAGCTGCATAAACTACATATCAGGCATTTATGTAATGCATCTAATTTGTGCATAAATGGCTGTTATGTTAAATAAAGTTTACTAACTACAGCAAATCAAGTACCTGCACCATGCCGTTGTTGTTGTCTCCTCTCCCCTCAGACGCGCCGCAATAGCAATCCTGCACGCAATTCTCAAAACACCCACAAGATGGCGGCGTTTATCAGTGAATCTGATATTACAAAACCGATATCCGATTATGGTAAAATGCTTAAATATCGGGAAAAATATCGGTAAATCGATATATCGGTCGATCTCTAATTGTAACCACTCTAAGTTTGTCTGCCTTGGGAAAGCTAGCGTGTCTCC